CTAAATTTTTGGGACAATAATAGGAAATCTTTGGGACCTAGGGCTTGGCAAAGAGCCCTTAGACTTCACACCGAAATTAGGAACTTTAAAGGAAAAATTGACAAATTGAGTATCATCAAAATTAAAAATTCTTGCTCTGTTAGGATGAGAAAAATATAAGCCACTAACTGCAAGAAAACAAATATGCATCAGATAAAGGTCTCACATCTAGAAAATAGAAAAAACACCTCAAAACTCCACACTAAAAATAATTAGATGAGAAGTGAGCAGACACAGCACTGAGAGGCTATAGGGATGGCCGATAAGCACATGAGACCCACAGTGAGGGGACAGGCAGAGTAAAAAGAGACACACCACTCTCTGCTGAGTATTCAGCTTCCTACTCTAGTCTTAACTGTTCGGTGGCAGGATGTATGCAGTCACTGGAAAATAGATGAGCAGTGTTTTAGAAAGCTAAGCATGCCCTGGCCACGTGGTCTAACAGTCACATTCCTGGGCATTTATCCCAGAGAAATGAAAACTTAGTTTCATTCAAAAACCTATACATGAATATTCATAGCACCTTTATTTGTAATAGAAAAAGTTGGAAACAACCCGAATGTTTTTATATGGGTGAGTGTTTAAACAGACGTGTATCCACACTCAGCAGTAAAAAGGAACAATTTTCTGACATTTGAAACAGCCTCAGTGGATCTCAAGGGAATTACACCAAGTAAAAAGTGGTTCAAGTGGTAAACTGCTTACCTAGCAAGTGCAAGGCTGAGTTGTAACCCCAGTACCTCCAAATAAAAGGCCAGGTTCAATGGCACATGCCTGTAGTCCCAGCTCCTGTGGAGGCTGAGTTGTAGGATCAGAAATTTGAGGCCAGCCTGACCAAAATAGCAAGATACTGTCTCTGAAAAAGAGGGAAGACCTTAGAAGGTCACATATTTCATGATTCCACTTATGTCACATTCTGAAAATGACACAATATAGAGATGGAAAGCAGTTTGTCTTGCAGTTTCAGAGGTCTGTTGGGTACACACAGGTGCCAGCCTCCTAGATTTGGTGTCTTACTGTAGTATGCCAGATTTATCACTGGGAGAATTGAGTGAAGGGTGTATGGGATCCTCCATATTGTCTTTGCAATTTCCTGTGGGTTGCTAATCATTTCAGAATAAATCAGTATATGCTTCTGTACTCACACCTGAGTTGTTGGAAGTATAGTAACAGATGATGTTGATGCAACCACGAACCCAGAGAAACTACTTCATAGTGATGACCAGCCACAGGGCTTATATCACAGCTTTTAATTGTTTACAGCTTTGAAACACACAGAATGAAATGACAGTGGAAGAGACAGCAGATATATCCATAATCGTTCATGGGTTGGCAAACTGTAGCCTGTGAGCCTTTTCTGGCCTACAAGCTAAGCATAGTTTTTACATTTTTAAAAAGTTGGTTAAAATATATATAACAGAGGCTGTATAGGACCAGCAAAGCCTAAACTGTTCATTGTCTTGTCTTTATAGAAAAGTTTGATGGTTTGTTCTATGTTAATCATTACTATAAAGAAATGCTTGAGGCAGGCTGCTATATATACAAAGAGAAGAGGTTTGTTTAACTCCCTGTTTGGGAAGCTAAAAGTCCAAACAGCATCATGCAGTCTTTAGGGAGGGGACCCCTGGGCTACAGTACACCATGGTGTGAGTATGGGTGTATTTGTAGATTGAGTTATGGCGTCTCCACCCTAATTACCTTATGTAATTTCAACATTGTCCAAAGGCCTCTCCTGTAAACATCAAAGTAGGGTTAAGTTTCCATTTCTCTTGATAGTATTCTAACCTGTGTGAGTTCTGGGGCAAGGGTGGGTGAATTATCAAACCATAGCACCTATTTGAGCACAGTCTCAAAAGCTGATGGAACAATCAGTAAATTTGATGTAATAGGCCTAGAGTACATGCTGCTCAAGTGCATGTGGAAACCTCACCAAGCTTCAGCAGATGTCTAACCATTGAGATCACTGGTCCCTTTTCAGACCACACTAGAGACAAGCTAGAAATCAATAATACAATAGAAAAAAGTCCTGATCGAAAATTAGATGGTACACTCCTGAGTAACAGGTAGAAGTAGAAATCAGTGTACATCATAAAGTATTTTGAATGACAGTAAAAATGCTGCTTATGAAAATGTGAGATAAAGCCAGAAGCTATTCTTAGAAGGAAACTTACTAAATTACTTGAAAATCAACAATCTAAGAATATAGCTCCTTAAATTAGCAAAAGAACAAATCAGACTGAGAAAGTGGTAGGAAGGAGATAATAAGGAGCAAAAACAAACATACAAGAGAGAAAAATTTGCAGTTGGTTCTTTGCAGGAACTCTGTGCTGGGGGAAGTGCAGGATGACACAGCCACTCGGGAAGACACCAACACCATGGGAGCTTTTTACGAAATTAAGCACACTCTGACCATATGATTCATCAGTTGAACTCCTTGCTATTTCCCAAAATATTGAAACTTTATGTTCACTTACAACTTGTACACAGAGACTTTAGCATTGTATTTATAATTGCCAATTTTAGTCTATTTTTCAGAGGCAAAAAATAAACTTATGAGAAGACACAGAGAAACCTTAAATCTTTAAATGGTGCTTTTTCTTTTCTTTCTCTCTCTGTTGGTTTTTTTTTGAAACAGAGTCTCACTATGTAACCCAAGCTGGCCTGGAACTTGCCATCCTCCTGCCACAGCCTGTATAGTGCTGGTTTTACAGTTGTGTACTACCTTGCCTGTCATCTTAAGTTGCTCTTATTAAGTGACAGAAGACAGTCTGAGGAGGCTGCACAGTGTATGATCCAGTTTTATGATGTTTGAAAAGGAAAAACTATGGAGACATTGAAAAGATCCAGGGTTAGAAGATGACTAGGAGCGACACAGGACTTTGAGAGCATAAGACAACTGTATGATACTGAATGGTGAATACTTGTCATACCTTTGTCCAAACCTACAATAGGTACAACACAGTGAGCCCTTGTGTAAACTGTGGAATTTGCCAGGCAGGCGTTCTACCACTTGAGTCACTCCACCAGCAACTGTGGACTTTGGTTGACATGTCAGTGTAGGTTCACTGACTGCAACATGGATATCCTGGTGGGAATGTTGAAAGTGAGGGAGGCTTTGTATGGGTAAGGCAGGAGATACATGGGAAATCTTTACATAGTCTCTCAATTTTGCTGTGAACTGCTCTAAAAAGCAGTCTTAAAAAAGTGACTTTTTGCAAAGATGAGTAAAATTGGCAAGCCTCTAGGAAAAGTGATAAGGAGGAAGCAGTTTGCCAATAGAGGGAGGGGAAGGACGGCCATCTATGGATGGTGCAGACATGAGAGAGATAACGGGAAGATACTATATCAGAACATTTGGAAATGTAAGTAAAGTGAACAGTCTGTGAAAAACAACACCATGCAGCTGAAATGGGGAGAAACAGACAGCCTCAGTGGTCTTCTGAAATGAACACACTCCCAAGAGAAAAACCTCAAGGCAGAGGTCTTGCCAGAGACCTTTTCCAAACACTGAGGAGCAGCATCTGGGTTACACTGACTCTTCTGAAGACCTGGAAAAGAGAAACTACTTTATAGCTGCTTTACATGAGTCCAGGAAAACCTCAACACCAAGGTCTAGCAAAAACATCATTCGGTCCTGTTTCATGAAAACAAATTCAGGGTTCCAAGCAAATTGAAACCAGTAATATGTAAAAGTGATAGTACATAATAACCAAGTTGGGTTTGTTTTTAGAATGCAAGATTGATTTAATGCCTGAAAACCATGGCAATTCACTTTAGTAATAAAGTAAATGAGAAAAAAAAACATGGTTATATTAATGGATGCCAAAAATACTTTATTAAATTCAGACCTGTTCATGATAAAAACTCAACAGAGCAAGCCTGAAAGAGAATATATTGTTGCTCTTGTAAAGAAATCTGCAAAATGACAACCAATGTCCCTGTGTGGTGGTCACTATTCTAAAGAAGAATAATAATTCTAAAGGGTAACTTTAAAAACTCATGCTGTGCAACAAAAACCTTTGAATTAACTTTACATTGACTTTAGGATAATCTCAATTCATGGGGCATATCTTAAGATGATTGCCAAACTTCTCATAGTGAAGCCTTACTTATGAAGAAGATAAAGCATCTGTCACTTTTCCCTAATTTATCTATTTTATAAGCTGAGTTAAGATATATGATGACACTTAGAGTTGTGCTTGGTCAATGTGAACAAAATAGATAACTGAAGGTGACTGGTTCACTTGTGCTTACCTTGTTGGTGGGTCACTTGGACACTTGCTACATTGATGCCTGTGTGGGTCAGAGTGGCCAGTCAGGTCTGTGAGGGATGCCTGTGGCCTCTGTGGGATACAGGATTCCTTTGCAGCATCAACTGTGGTTTCTTCCCTCCAGGCCAGTGAAAATGTTGGACATCAACGTAGATTTGGCAAGGAAAAGAAAGATTTCATGTTGACCTGTTGAAGTACATATGCCATTTTATTCTGAAATGATACTCATTTAAAATGGGGTTTTTAATAATTAGTATTCATGGTTGTAATAATTGAATGTGGTTTTGGAAACACGAGCTCACTGTATCTGAAGTGATGCCTCAGCTGCTCTCCCTTTCCCTGTTCCTTTACAAGCATCTTCCTAGTGGGCCACAACTCTGCTGTGAGTAAATGGGCATTTCTGTTTGCAGCCCAGAGGTGCTTAGGGCTGGAACACTGTGTTACAGGTCTGTTTGAGAAGCAGGTGGTTGAGTGGATGGTGAACAAGACAGGCTGTCTTTGGGGGCTCCCTCACATTCCCGTAGTGGAATTTGTGCGGCCTCTTTCATCAGTGGTGCTCATGAGGCCTGGTTTGCTATCCAGTGGTGGGCAAGCACCTGTTCTGAAGAACTAGTGCTGCAGTGTTGAAACTCCTTTGGGAATTTCCTGCACACATCTGAATATTTGAGCTGTGTGTGTGTGTTTCCACAGCTGGATTACATCAACTCCAGAGCCGTGCAGCTTGGATCCCTCCTTGTCCGTGGTCTTACCACCCTGGCACTGGTCAACAGTGCATGTGGCTTTCCCTGGACAATGAGTGAGTTCATGCCTTGGAATGTGTTTGATGGCAAGCTTTTTCATCAGAAGTACCTGCAGTCTGAGAAAGGATACTCTGTGGAGGTTCTTTTGGAACAAAATGTGAGTTCAGGGTTTTGTTTTTTTGTTTTTGTTTTTGTTTTTTTGCATATTCATAAACAATTAATAGGTTTGAAGCCAATAGCTCCAGTGCATCTGAAAATTCATTCCTGGGCTGGACATCAGAAAGGTGAGAGGCTGCCTGTTCTAATGGTCACACAACTTTAGAAAAACAAAAGTGTGCCGCAGAAATCCCAGGCTTCAAAACGTCACACAACTAACATCATGAATATGTTTTACTTTTCCACAGCTGCTCTCCTGACAGGGTTAAGTTGCTCCAAACATCAGAAACATACAACCTATATTATCAGTGTCAGTGTATACATAGCTAACAGGCTCTGTAGGGAGGGTGTATAGAGTGAAGAGCTTGCACTCTCTCAGAGGAGCCTCCCAGACACCAGACTAGCCAGTGAGACACTCACAAATACTCCTGAAGGCTATGTCCTTGGGGACATTGGCTGCTGCTCCAGCTTTCTAGGTACAATTGCTGCATGATTCCTGGAAGATTTCCAAATAAGACCTCATGCCAAACTCATTTGGAATGTTTTATTACCCACAGGGTTGCTGTGGCAGTGTGATCATGAGAGAGCGTGCTGGTCTGTTAGATAAAACGCTCCAGGCTTTCACACCAAAGGGAAAACATTTGGCAGTGTGTTGCCATCACCATTTCTCACCAAAATTCCAGGATGTCAGGACTGTAAGTGTTCAGAGCTTAGGAGTAAACCACATTATGTACAGGCAGCAAAAGCAGAAAAGGAAAACTATTCCTCAGACTTGGGTATTGCTGTAGCAGTGGTGGAAGGAGATGGAGCCTGAAGGCTACAGTAGTAACACCCATCCTGTGTAACTCAAGGTACCTCACGATGGCCTCACAGTAATTTGATGCTGTGTTTCTGGGGGGTTAAGGGAGTGAAAGTCTTCTAATATGCTCTTGTGATCACAGTGAAGGAGAATTGCAGCTATCTTGTCCTGGTGCATTGTGGGTAGTCACATTGGTTGATGTCTTTGGGGATAGAGAACCCTCATGTGTTGTGTCCCATTCCTACCACATTGGACCCTGCTCTGCGTGGTCCCAGCCCTTCATAGAATATGTGGCCAGCTGTTGTTTGCATCTGATCTGTTTGCAGAGATCTTGGCTCACCAGATTCCACAACCTGAAGGCAGTGATCTGTAAGGCCTGTGTGAAGGAGAACCGACGCATTGTGGGCAGATCTCACTGGACCTCTCACCATTCAGGTGGGCAGACCTTCATCTGTCAGACTCTTCACCTTGGGTCCTGGAGCCCACCTGGGGCTCAGGGTAGCCCCCGGCTACTTCCTGTGGTTTACTGGTAAAAGAATTCTAAGAAGAGACTGATGAAATTACAGAAGATTAAAATTGATATTATAGGGCTCTCCTCAGTGGTTTAAAATTTTGTTCCTATTAGGAAAATAATTTTCAGAAAAGATTCACTTGTTAATTGAATAATGAGGAACTCACTCTGGGCACATTTCCATCTTCCCACGACCCCCTGAGGCTGTGTGGGGAGTGTTTGTCTACTTAACAGAACTTCAGGGTTAGTTTTTCCCATAACAAAGACATACTAGAAAATAATTAAAAACGAAATATAAAAAGCCTTTTATTTTGTCACTTGAAGGTGACAGGCATTGCCAGACAATGTACTTTTTCAATATTTTCTTGTGTTTTTATCTCATGGTTTAAACTTGATGGCATTTTGTGTTTGCTTTTCCAGGTGGCACTTACCATGTTTAAAAAAAAAAAATTCTTAGTGACAGGTGGAGATGGGAGGAAGCCAGCTCATGCAAAAATTAGACCTGATCTCAAAAACAAGCCAGGCATGGTAGTGAATGCCTTTGATCCCAGCTATCTGGGAGGCAGAAGTAGGAGAATTATAGTTCAAGGCTAGCCTGGGCCAAAAATGCAAGATCCTACCTGAAAAAATAACTAAAGCAAAAAGGGTTTTGAGGTGTGACCCAACTGGTAGAATGCCTGAGTTCAAACCCCAGTACCACCAAAGCAATAAATAAGTAAATAATTTTTAAACAGCAGCCAGAACCTTCTGCTATGGACAGGCTGTATGCACTTCACCATGTTCCTCTGCAGCTGTTTCCATTTTTCATTATTCATACTGCTTTTATGTGCATTGTTGCCTTAGAATAGGATATATTACAGCTTATTGAATTGTAGATCAAACTGTAATAGAATTGTAGATAAATGTTGCTGGCTTGTTTCCTAAAATCCTTTCCATTACCCATACCTTCACCAGCCACGATTAGAGTCGTTTTTAGGCAGTACCTTGACAACATTCAAAAGTGGTCCTTTTTTTTTTTCTTTTAAACTTAATTGATAGAAGAAAAAATATATCTCTTTGATTGCATGCTTCTTAATTATCCTGGAGTTGGACATCTTTCTACCACCTTTTTGTTAGCGAGATTTTAAAAGTATTTTTTTGGTGTCTTCCTTTGGTATCTATAATGTAACCATAACAGTCCTTTATTTTTCTTGATGTAACGAGAGAACTCACCCCAAACTTCTACCAGCCAGACTGTCTTCAGGAGTCCTGCTTGAAATCAGCCTTGCAGTTTCCATCCTTAGAGCAGCAAGGCTCCTCAGGGTACCCAGTCCTACCAGGCTTTGTCCATGGACCATTACAAGAGAGCATCTGAGGTGTGGAGCCACTCCTAATCTGGAAGAGGAAGGCATCTTTTCCCCACTTGCCATTGTGTTTTTCTTCTAATTTTCTCCTACCAGCTGCAAGTAGATAGAATTTGAGACCCAAAACAAAAGTTTATTCATTGCAAAGCACATGTCTTGTACTGCATTCTCCTTACGTTTCCTGTTTCGGTAAGTTGTTGGCAACCTGGGACTTAGTGTCTGCTCTCTGTGTAGGTGCCTAGTTCAGATTGTTAGAGAGCAGGACAAGTGGCAGGTATCTTGCCCACTACTGCATGGGGCGGTTTTGAAGTGGATGTCATCACTGGAACTTGCCTGCCAAGACTCCTTTCTGGTCACGCTGTCCACGTGTATCCTGCAATGAAAAAGTCAGCTCCACAAGTGCTGACTGCTGGTGCCTGCTCACACAGACTGCACAGCAATGCTGCTGCAAAGCTGACTTCCCTGTGAGTTTGCATCTAGAACTGACAGCTGTGAAGTGGCAGCTATTCAGATCATGAGATCAGGTATAGCTCCATGTACTGGACTGTGGAGACATCCAGAGCTGGAGATGCATCATCCCTGTGCATCTTACACTAGGCACTGAGCAAACAAGGGGCTCAGTGGTGAGGGTGGCACTAAACAGCATCACAGAGGAGCTGAGTTCTTAGCCACAGCAGAGAAGTCTAGTGGTGGGGAGAAGACCAGAGTTAGACTTGTGTAAATCACCACAGTGGGAAGAAAACCAGGGAAGAAGATATGGGAGGCTGATCAGTGCTAAGCTCAAGAATAGAGGTTTGTATCTCTCACAGGGTGAGCTTTTGGAGACTTTTGAAATGATGCTCAGAAATGTGCTCTTAGTGTGGTGGCTACACCAGCAGTGAGACGACAGCTCCAGGCCATCCTGAGCCCCAGATGAGGGTTGGCCCTGGGAGAAGTGCTGGGTAGAGCCTCTTAGCACGTCACAAAAGCTGTGGGTCAGTCTTCCCCCCTTACTGGTGATTGAAATACTAGAACCTGGGGTGTGGACATGTTGAGTATGTCCTTGTCCCTTGTGTCCACTGTGGCTCCAAACAGAAGAACTGGCTCTCTGAAGGAATTACACCACACATGCTGTTACACAATGGGGAACATTAGTTGAAGGCTACAGGGCCCAGCAGACACTTCCCTGGTATCTCTGGTTGGTGTCTTGGTCCTCTTTGTGGAGCACTGTAAAATACCAAGACATTTTAAAAAGTACAAGTAATACTTATTCAGGCCTTCTAGTGGAAACAGATGGTGCAAGGTATCAGGGTTTAGAAATTTCTGGAAACTTTAAAGTACAGAAGTTTGTATTAATGAGTTGTGGGGAACCAGGAAGAGCTTACCAAGTTCCAGAATGTGCTCCAGGGAACAGCATCCATGTGAATGAGTTGGCTGAGGGAACCAGAGGTGAGCCCATCTCTATTCTGGGGGACCTGGCTTCTGGACCCATTGTCCCTGGGTACAGAGTCTGGGTCGACTCCATTTTGAAGTCATATTATGGCGTGTCCCTGTCTGGCTGCTGATTCTCAGACCACTCATCATAGGTCAGAGTCTCCCATTTGGCTTCAAGTACAGATTGGCCGTTCCCTCTCCTGAGCCAAACTCAGCTACAACCCTTGCTCTGCATGTCTGAGAGAACCCCTGGCCCTTGTGAGCACAAACCAAAGGTTTGGAGATTGCTGGCCTGGTGCTGCCCAATACACTGTTAAATTTTGGATATGGTGAGTAATATCATGCTGACTCTTGACTGTGTTCCCACAGGGAGATGGGGGAGACAGGGCTCCAGCTCCTACAGGACAAGTAACACATACAGCCATTCTGGGCAAGGACAGTCATGGAGAGACCAGGGTCCAGGTAAGAGGTCACCATACCACTACCCATCTCTGATAGCCATGTTTACTGGGAAAATTGTATCTTTACAGTTGAGGAAACATAAATGTGCTGGTATATCTACTTCCTTATTCAGTGAAATAGAGACCGGTTATTTCCCTGCTTGCTGCTTGTCTGTCTGCACCTAGCTACTTTATCTTCTATCAGTTCCTCTGTTCAAGACCCAGTTTTTGTGATTTATTCAATGAAAATCTATAAAGGTTGCATGTAGAATGTTCATCTTCTGATGAAAAAAGCATAAGTAGGAGTGTTCTGGTATATTCCATGTCATGGGTCATATCTGCAATGTAGAAAAAAAATCTCACCCTGGGCTTCCTACACATGTGATGCATATGTCTGTTTTAACACCCATATTGTGCTGAATTGAATGCATAGTAATTTGCATTTAAAGACATAGAGAACCTCTCATCAGTATTTAAATTCAAATTCCTTATAGTTTTGAGAGCCAAACTAGGTAGACTTTGAGATTACCTAAATTTTTAGCCTTTCATACAAACACTTTTAATTCAATGTGTGATCATTTTTACTTTTGCGATCTCTAAAAATGTGTGGAGACTTCACACATTGCTCAGATTACTGTCCACAGCAACTCTTCAACATTAACCCAGTTGGCACTTTGGACACCACCTCTGAAAGCAGGTGATACAGGCCATCACTGTGAAGCTGCAGAGAAAGGGCGTGCACCAGGCTGTGGACAGCATGATCATCCAGTGCCAAGTCATGTCCTTTTGTCCTCTTGAGTCTACAGGTTTAGCAGACATCAGATCCTACTGAGTAGTCAGTATATTCCAGAGTTTCTGATGAGTGTCTTTATATATGCCCTCCCTACACCACCACCCACCCCAGGAGGGGGAGAAAAGCTCAATCAGTGTAGATTTATGTTGGCTTTGGAGTTTCCGTGAGTTAGGTGAACCTACCACATCCTGCCACTGCCTGTCCTCTGGATTTCTGCTGACCTAGTTTGACCTGTTTTGCCATAGGCCTTCCCCTAAAGAGCTCTAGCACAGTGAGCTCAGGAGGCTCCCACCCCTTCTCACCAGTCTAGTGACCTGTACACCTGCTCATGTAGTGTAACTTTCTTGTGCTCCAGTATAGTATCTTTGGGATTGTTTTTGATTAATTGGTTGGTTTGTTTTTTGGAGACAGGGTCTTACTATGTAGCCTAGGCTAACCTTGACCTCGTGATCCTCTTGCCTCAGTCTTCCAAGTGCCGAGATTATGGGTATGCTCCAAGCCTGGATGAGATTGTTTTTTAATTTGGGAGATGCTGCAGTTCATTGGACTAACAAACCAGAGGCTTTGTGACTTGCCAAGAACAGCATGGCATGATCCTAAGCAGATAGGTGGTCCTGAGTGTTCTGCAGAGAGTACAATACTGCCCTGGGGTTCTACAGCTGCTTGGTAAGGGTCAGCACAGTGCCCACTTGTGAGATCCAGCTGTCTGCAGGGATGAACAGGTGTAGGCTGCTCGGAGGGTACAGTACTCTTGCTTCTCTGTTTTTAACATTTTTGGGCCCTTCAGGTGAATCAGAGTGATGCCAAGAGAAAAGCAGGCCCAATAGGTGGAAGCACCCTCCTGGCTCCTGTTCTAATTGATGGTCTCCCTGAGGAGGTGATGTTTAAGCAAAATCTGGGGAGTACGGGAGAAGCAGCTGGAGGTACAAAAGGAAGGCAACAAGGCAGAGGAAATGGCCAGTGGAGTGGCAGGAAGCTGCATACCTAGCAGGAGATGAGAGTTCACCTGATGCTTACCCAGATGGAGAAGAGAACTGACCTGATGCTCACCCAGCTGGAGGAAAGAGCTGACCCTGATGTTCACTCAGGTGGAGAAGAGAACTGACCTGACACTCACCCAGCTGGAGGAGTGACCTAATGCTCACCCAGGTGCAGGAGAAGGAGGTCTGCTCTGAAGTTACCAAGTCTGCACAAAAGGATGTCATCTCAGATGACTCTCCTAGCTCTTCAGCCTCTTGGCCAGGCAGCTAGCTCTATAGCTGTGAGATTCTTTGGTACTTTCTTTGCATGGGGAGGTGAACCGTAGTAAATTTCTTACTTTAGCAAGTAAGGAAGTTGGGCCAGTGCTGCTCTCATTTGTGCCTGTTCATTGTGGACCTGCAGTTTGTGGGACACCGAGTGTTGCAGCTTCCTTGCCTCTCCTGCCTTTTCCAGACATAGCAACCACAGGGCTGGAGCCCTCCTCCTGGAGACAGGTAGCCCTTGTCTCCAGCCCTATGCCCAGAACCCACCTAAGGTCACAGCTATTTCCCAAACTGTGCCAGAGTGCTTCTAGTATTTTCCTAATTATTTTTCCAAGTGCTGGGATTACCGACATGTTTTAAAGGGGCCTTTTATCAATTATACCTTACTTACAGCTCTTTTTTTAAAAAATTAAATAAAGCAAGAAAGCACATAGAAGCCTAACTATACCCTTGAACCCCATGAAAAACTGTCTATGTCAACACAGGTCCTACCTAGGCATGGCTGTCAGGCGGCCTGCCCAGGAACAGTGTCAGAAGCATTGGTTGATTCTCTTCCTTAGTGCAGTGGCAGAGATTGTAAGGACATGTTTAAAATTAGGTGAGATAAGCCCTCCTTCTTGAAATTGGTAGGAAACAGAGTTGGCTTCTTCATATTCTATTAGCAGAGAATATTGATAGTGTTCGGAAATTTTTCCTGACAGAGATGAGAATGATGGAGTGACTGACTCTCCCTAGAGCAGAAAGCAAATACTCACCCTCAGCCCAGGTTCCTGTCAGAGAGGAACCTGCATCACTCAGCACCTGCATCCACACTCCTGTTGGTCAGTCTCAGCTCCAGTCCCCATTGGTCCTGCCAGGAGCCCAGGGCCTTCAAGGTTTTCATGTGTCCACCTGTGTGTGACTGTCCTCATGGCCAGTGATGTCAGGCTGAGAGGTTTAGCTGGAGAGTCAGGAGCATGCAAGGTTGTGTGACAAGACTGTGGGCTGGTGAGAGGACGGTGGTGGCCTCCTGCTGTGCCCTGAACCTGAGAGGGAGGCAGTCATGCAGCAGGTGGGTCAGGAGAAGACAGCTCTGGGACTAGGGCTGCAGAGGTTGAGAAGTTAGAAGACTGGTCCTCAGTCAGGTTCCATAAAGAATGGTTTCTTGGACATTCCTGTCCAAGCAGCAGGCATCTTCAAGAGTGCTTTTCCTGCTCCTTTCTGTTTGTATAGCATTCTATGCCACTGAAGGGAACTGGAAGCACTTTGAAGGACCCAGAATGGTGTCAGCAGCCCTGATGTGTGGAGGACATGTTCTTCTCTCTCCTTGGAATCATTCCTCCTTCAGGACTCAGTCCTCCCTGAGCTGTAGTCTCTGTGTCCCCAGCACCATGCACACTCCCACTTTCCAACCCCTCGTCTGCGTTCTGGGCTTCAGTCCTGTTACCCAGCATCAGTGCTCCTCACAGGAACCTTGACACTCACTGAGTGAAGACTGAGTAGCTGTGGGTTTTCTGATACGTGTGTCTGCATTGCTTTACTTTTGCATGCATATTCCTTTGGGTGTTGGGTGATTCCTGAGCTGGTCCACAAGGCCATGGTAGGGACCAAAGTCTTAGATCTTGTTGGACTCAGTGGGTGAGGCCAACCTTTCCATCATGTGCCCCAATGTTTAACTTACAAATCCAGTACATACAGCACTAATTACCAGGTAGTACACACTTCTGACCTACATTTCTTTAGAACTCCATTTACTTTTATAAATAAAAAGCCAGATAACCAGAAACAATGTGCAGTCAATTTTTCCTGACCCAGAAAGGAGCAATGATGACCAAGTTTGTAGGTAGCATCATAGACATGCAGGTACTGGGGGCGCACAGAGCCCTGGCAGTTAGTCCTGTCTTGTGAATGAATGTGCAGCCACTACACATCTGCTTATCTCACCACATTACTTCTGAGTGGAAGTGGGTGCATGACATGAGCCCCAGGAGTGGGCTTCTGTCTCACATCCCACACAGCCATGCTAAACTGCAGGACTGTAAAGGGCATTCGTCTGGCTGACTGTGAAGCCAGAGAAGCACACTTTCCTCTGCTCATGCAGTTACTTGGAGGCAAAAAAACTGCACTGGTCTCAATAGTTAAGAGCCTTAAAACAATTGTACCCTGGTTTGAGACATCGGTCTTTGGAGGAGATCCCTACTTTATTGGGGTAAGTCATAGTAGGAGCACAAAAAGCACAGAGCTGTCCCTTGTGAGGGTCAGGATCGGGAAGGTTCAAGGGCCCAAGTCAAAAAGCTGACCCTAGTGGGCAAGGGCTGGGTTGAAGGGTTAGGAACAAGCCTAGGAAGGGCTCCTGCAAGGCAGTGTGTAAACAAGGACAGTGCATTTCATCAGTACCTTCCTTGCATGGTGCATACCTGATGTTAGGTGTGCTGTGTGAAGATCTGTTACACACAGTAAGGCTTTCACTAGTCTCTGTGATGTGGTTGCTGTTACAAGCAGTCAAGAGGAGGGAGATGTTTTCAGATCAGGCAGTTGACTTTCATGGTGAAGTACTGCTATTGCATTCTAGACCACTGTATTTTTTGTTGGGTTTTCCTACCTTGAACTATTTTTGTATTTCTTGGAGATGTTGAAGCAGTCCCAGTAGAAAGTTGTCACTATTTTCAGGACAGAAGCAACAGACAAAATTTTTTGTATTGGAAGAAAATTCAGAATAGAAGTATTCCACTACTGCCATTGTTAGCAAGTTTCCAGAGCCTAGACCTGGCTTGACAAGTGTGAGGCAGGGGGGTAACTGAGACTCCAGCATCACTGCAGGGAAGGCTGCCTATGGGTGCACCCCAGAGATTGTAAACATCAAAGGGAGGGTTCTCAGCCTCCCTGTGAACATAACCCTTCTTTGCTGCAGCTCAGCCCACCTGGTGAGGAATGAAGTGTTAAATTCCACAGTAGAGAGCTGTAAATATGCCATTGTCCCTTCTCATGGTAATTCTGATGGAGGGAGCTTCCTCAAATCACAAGGGTGGGGTAGAAATAATAAGGCTGATGGGAATCATGCCTCACACCTTAGGTGTCATCAGGAGGGCACCTTAAGGCTTCCTTATGCCAGAAGAAAGCCAAGAGCCAGAAAGATTGTAGGATAGTGTTACTTTTTTTTCTTTTTAGCATACTGGAGTTGAGCTCAGGCTTCCTTCGCTTGCTAGGCAGGTGCTCTACCACTTGAGCCACAACCCATAGCCCCTTTTCTTGTGCTATTTATTTTTGAGGTAGGGTCTCACTTTTTGTGCCCAGGCAAGCCTAGACTACAGTCCTCCTATTTGTGCTTCCCCATGTAGCTGGGGTATTGGTTGAGATGGGGTCTCAGGAACTTTTTCACCTGGGCTGACATCGAACCACAATCCTCTTGATGTCCACTTCCCAAGTAGTTAGGATTACAGGCTTAAGCTACTTTTAAGATGTGAAAACTATCAACTTTTTACTAAGCAAGTAGTTCTGCTTGTAGTCTTTTCCCAACATCCCGTCAAGAAGGCAGGAAGTGGCCAACTGCACCATTGGAGGTTAGGGAAAGGCCTGGGCTCACCCTGGAAAAACCACATGTGGCTTTTTCTGTGCTTGGCAGAAAGTCCCCTCTGAGCCATCTGTATATAAATTTCCATTTCCAAAGTCATTAGCAGTAATAAATGTCTGGATAATATGCAGATGGTTGGAACTGGTGTTAAGAGATACGATTTTGACAGTTTCCTTCCACTAATGGCACTACCTCCTAATTAATTGCTTCCATTTTAATGGAGTAATTATAGAACAAAATTTTAATGACAGGTGGCCACAACTGAAAAGAGAATAAAGTTCTGTCTTCCAAATACAACTCAGCATGCTGTTTTTATGCATACTTAGAAATGTGTGGGATTTTTTTTGAGTATTCAGAGAGATTTAATTCTTTCTTTGATTTTTGTGTCTATTTGGTTCAGGAAACAGACAATATGAACATGACCAATGGAGAAGGTACTAGGCATCTTCCAGGTAAGATTTTCAAACCTGCATCACTGGAAGAATGAGTAGACACTGTCCTCATAGCTGAGTCTTCCACACCAAGTGCCAAGAGGTTATAGGGTCTGTCTGCATGTTGCACCCTCCTCACTGGGATCATAAACTTGGTGCAAGAGACATTTGCTTCCTCCAGAGACGGTTCAGAGAAAGGAGGACCAGCTCCTGGATTCTCCTGACGTGCCCTTCGGAGCAGAGCCTTCAGAGGGATGCCACCCAGCTGCCTCTGACCAGGGCCAGACCGCACTTGTGAAAGAAATTAAAAATACCCCTTACCACAGCTTCTGTCTCAAATCCTGTAGAAAAGCTTCTCGGCTTATTTTCATAGGTTGTGCCCAATGCCTTGGCCCAAAATAATCATTGCTGGCGTTGCATGTATCATCTCAGTCTCTACATCCAATGTATGAAGCAGTTGTTTTCTCTTTTGAATAAATTGGAATCTTAACTATATCTAGCCTTTTTGGAAAAAAAAAAGATTAATACTAGATTATGATGTTCTCTAAAGTCATTAAGTAGTCTTTGAAAACAAAACGTTCTAGTATTTCAGAAATGTTTTCTCATTAGAAATTCTAATCAGGGCAGTGCACTGTGACCTATGCCTATAATCTTAGCTACTTGGGACGTAGAGATGGGGAGGATCATGGTTCAAGGCTCCCCAGGCATAAAATTCACAAGACCTCATCTCAGTCAGTGGCTGAACACAGAGGTGTACATCTCTCATCCCCAGCTACTTGGGGAAGCACAAATAGGATCAGCATAAAGTAAGATCCTACCTCAAAAATAATGAAATAAAAAAGGGCTGGGAGTATGGTTCAAGTGGTACAGCACCTGCCTACCAAATCTACCTACCAGTTGTGAGGCCCTGAGTTCAACCCCCAGTACTGCCAAAAAAAAGAAGGTCTAATCAAAACTCGAATCTCCAGCTAGTCTTCTCTTGGTCCCCAGAATTGTTTGAGCAGAAAAAGAAGTAATAACTCAGTTCTGACCTTCCTTGTAAAAGACTTGGTTCTACCTGGAGGTGAGACGTGGTATGTGAAACTTGGGTCTGTTTGTCATGTCACCCTTTTCATTTCATCTTGCCAGGCCCCACTCAAATTTTTCACACAGTGTATGTAACGACTGGCCTGGTTCTCAGTGCAATCAGAAAGGAAGCCTGCATGAACATGTTGCACGAAAGATGAAGTGAATCTGCCAATGAGCTAATTTAGGGTGCTGCCAATGAGTGGGAAGTTCGTTGCTCTTTATCTGTGAGCATTGACGAGTTTTTGTGTTTAAAAAGCATTTTAAATGAATCCAAGTTCAGAAAAATCCTACTCATGGAAGAATTTTCAGATAACTCCAGAGGTGGAGCTTTTAATCACATCATACTGCATTATATCTCTGAGTATTGGTACTCAAATGCATGCTGGGTTAGTCTCAGAAGCAAGACCAAGGTCTTCCTTGACCTTTGTCTCAAGCTCACCGCCAGCCCCAGCCCCAGTCCCCACCGCCCCCCGACCCAGGGGCTGAAACTGGTTGTGCCTGCCGAGACAGTGTGGCCAGGAAGTGCTCACTTCTGAAAGTGAGTGTCCTTCCTGTTACTGCTATCTTTAAAGTCAGTAGGCCCCTAAACATATTCATGTGCAGTTTACATGTCTGCACGGATGAGTTACCCTGACCAACAGCTCATTTGTGCTGCATACAGCTCCTGGCTTCATCTTGCCTTGTAACCTGTCTTGAATTTGCCTAAAAGGGACAGTCTCCAGGTGTTTGAATACACTCATAGTATTTAGGTTTGAAAAAACCATAGCTACTCTCTCAGCTCCTTCTTGAGGACGTTTGCATATCTAAATGTAGATATTGTGAAAGGCAATGGCTTTCGTAGATGTGTACTCTCAGTCTAAGAAATGAGAAACTTACTTCAAAGTTACACAAAAGGGCAACAAAGAAATAGAGCTTCTAGACTGGGTACAGTGGCTCATGCTTATAATCCCAGCTATGGTAGGAGGCAGAGATTGCGAAGATCACAGTTCAGGGCCAGCCTGGGCAAAATTAGTGAGAACCACCCCATCTCAGTCTGTAAGCTGGGGTGAGGTGGCACATGCCCATCATCCAAGCTACTGGGAGGCATAGGTAGGAGGATCATGGTCTGAAGCTGACTGTGGAGGGTAGAGGGAGAAGAAGGGCTGGAGGCATGGTTCAAGTGGTAGACCACCTGCCTAGCAAGCCCAAAATCTTTAGTTCAAATCCCAGAACCACCATCAAAAAAAAAGGCACTACAAAAAACCAAGGGATCCTACATGGTGGCTCACAGCTGTAATCCCAGCAACTTGGGAGACAGATTAGGAGGGTCACAGTTGGACACCAGCCCAGGCAAAAAGTTAGCAAGATCATCTCAACAATCAGGCTTGGTGATGTACAGCTGCAATCACAGCTACAGGGGACCAGGGAGTAGGAGGATTGTGATCTGAAGCTGGCCTTGGGCCAAATTGAAACCGTATCTGGAAAAATACACTGGCAGCAAAAAGGGCTGAGGGTGTGGCTGAAGTGATAGAATACTTATGTAGCAAGTGTGAGGCCCTGAGTTCAAATCCCAATTCTAGCAAAAAAAATTGAGAAAGAAGGCAACAATGGAGGATACACAGACTCTATGTAGGTTACAAAGCAAGTGCGTTGTTTTTTTGTTGTTTTGTTTTGTTTGTTTTTTGTTTTTGAGCCACTCAGTTGGGGGAGATAATCTATAATAAGTGTACAGAATGATGACCCAGGAGTCATGTCTCACCTCAAAGCCACAGCTGAAACCATGAAAGCTCAGAAGAAAGTGTTGGAGAACATCCCCACAGCATTGGCTCTGGAGGTGGCCTCATGCTGTAACACCAGAAGAAACTGGTGATATGACTCAGAATACACAATTTCTGTGCATTAAGAGATTCTATCAAGAAAACAGATGGAAGTAAATACATAGACGATACAAGATGGCCAGCAGGCACGTGGAGAGGGGCTCAGCCTCCTTGGGCATCGGAAGTGCAAATGGAAATGAGGAACCGTAGCTGCACACCTACCGGGATGGCTGTAAAAAGGAAAGGGAGGGAGGGAGGGAAGGAGGAATAGAAGGGAAGGAAGGAAGGAAGTTGTCCAAAACAATATGGCAACTCCTGAAAAGGTTAGGCATGGATCTACCATATGACCCAGCAATAAAAACTCAAGTGTATGTCCAAAAGAATTGAAAGCAGAGATTCAAGCAGATGTTTATACACCGGGTCCATAGCAGCCTTATTCACAGTAGGAACGGTGAAAGCAATCCCAAGTGGACATAAACAGATGAATGAACAAAGTATGATCTGACCTGTCCACACAGTAGAATATTATTCAGCCATAAAAAACAGTGAGTTTCAGGCTGGAGATCTGGCTCAAGTAGTAAAGTGCTTGCTTGGCATGTATAAGGCTTTGAGTTCCAATCTGAGTACCACCCCAAAAAAGTAATTTTGATAACGTGTCTTGACAGACCATGAAAGCGTTACATAGTGTGAAGTGAACCAGACACAGAGGGACAGTTATTGCATGCTTGTACTTACCTGAGGCACTTTGAGTAGTCAGACTCACAAAGCAGAGTAAGGTAACAGGTGCTGGGGACATGGGGAGTTACTGTTGAATAGGTACAGAATTTGGGAAGGCTGAAACAGTTACTATGGTTACACAACATTGTGTATGTCCTTAATGCACTCAATTGCACACTTATAATTGGTTAAAGTGATAATTGTGTATTTTACTACTTTCTGAGATGGGGTCTTACCGTGTTGCCCTCCTGGCCTTAGTCCCTTGGATTTAAGCGATTCCCCCACTTCAACCTCTCAAATATTTGGGACCACAGGCATGGGCCCCTGCACTCAGCTTTACCACATTTTGAAGAAAACTTGTTCAAAATGGATTAAAGATTTCCATAAATGCTGTACAGAGCCCTATAATTCGTACCTAGAATATTTAATTAGCAGGTAATCCTTTTGTTGAAATATGGAATGCTAAAATGTAGACTTTGAATAAAACGAAAAAACTAAAAATATAGTACAAAAGTACAGGATACTCTTTCTTTTAAAAAAAAGTTAATGGGATGTATGTAGAACTATACTTAAAAAATTTCAACCTTAAGTACATTTTATTAAAGATTACATTTACTGAAAAGTAAATGAATTGAGCATTCCACTCAAGTGAATATGCAAAGCACACTTAAGAGAAAAAAGTAAATAGTAAGATAAACAATGTTAGGAATGAGAAAGGGTTCATAATTGTGTTTCCAGTTGTAATGCCAAATTATAAGGGGATGGTGTCAATGTATTAGAATTCTGTTTGCAACAAGGAGTTTTTGTGCCTTGCTATTAGTACAAATGCTTATCGATAAGCATTTGCTGGATGTTTCCCCATAGAAGAGACCTAAGTGCTCCGTACAGCCCTTCCCCCAAAGCCAACCACCTGCAAGCCTTGACCAGCAGGTCTTGTGCACCCATAACAACCCCAGGTCATAGCAACAGAGAGAAGTAAAACATCTCACAACCACTTAAGGACTAATCTGTCTAGTCACTGCAGTCTTAAGATTCCAGGAGGGAACAGCAGACTTGGTAGCTGAGAGCACCTGTGAATCAGCTACTCTTGAGGAGGGGCTATGTTCAGGAGAGGGGAAGTCAAGTGAGTGGCTTCCCATGTGCCATGGTAGGGAGTCAGGATTCCCTGTAGTGTGCTGTTAGGGTGCTGGCAATCTTGGGAGTTAGTTCTCCAAAGTATCTAACCATTCAGTGTATCAGATGTGTGTGTTTGTTACTGATAAGACTCTTGTTTTTTGTAGGAGCTTTTTCTGGAATATTTGGTTTTGTCTCTGTCCTGAAATCTCAAAAGGATTTGTGTACATGTGAGATTTTTGTTTTATCATTTCTCCTACTTGACACTTCTGAGAGGTCTTCTTGTCCCACTTATCCTACATTGGTACCTTATTCTCTCCTAGAGTATCTACTGGTTCAGTTCCTCGAGTTCCTCTGTGTTTTCTGTGGTTTTGTCTCAGTGCTGTTTCCTACAAAAGTCCTCAGTGTAATTTCCAACCTAATGTGAAGTGATTTTTCATCACCATAGTTTAGAGAGTCCAGTGGTTATACAAGGCTGTTTTTAAAAGCACATGAATCCCTCTTTCCCAGATGGATCTGCTTGTACTGCCCTCTTTTAAGCAGTCATTTCTAACAGTGTGTCTCCTGCTGTGTTTTGAGCTCCCTTTGAGAACCCAGGAGCAACTACTCAGCTCCTGAAGGCCTCACTCTTGATGTATCATGCCTTCTCCTGCTCAGGCATGACTCTGGTTAGATCATGGCCCTGTCTATGGGAAAGCTGTGCTTGCACTTAAGCTTGGCTCTAGAATGCCTCCACCATTGTGCACATTTGTCCCTAGATTTGGCCACGTGGTGGTGTATGGGTTTGCTTCATTTTCCTCCAGATTCTCCCCAGTCTGCATCATTTCAGTGGATCCATTTGCCAGACATCCTGTCAAGTTCATCTTTAGGAGGCTGTCTCCTGCTTCTTGGGCTCTCCTACCTGATGAGATGTCCTTGAGCTGTGCCCCTGTAAACCATCCTCATCTTGGGAATCCTTTGCTCCTCCCTCTCAGGTAGGGTCCCAAATCCCTTATGTTTGAAAAAGGAAGAACAGGGCATGAATTTCTGAGGCCTTGAAGGTCTGAAAATGTCTTTATTATACCTTAACATTTAATTGAAAGTTACATGGTTATAGTATTCTGGGATGGAAATAATTTCAGAATTGTGAATTGTAGAATTTTTACATTGTTTCGT